CTCCTACCATAGATTTTACATTGTTATGCATTGTCTCTGCTCTCACATATTAAGGTACCGGGATAAGTACATAACTCCTGGGTCCTAACAACATAAATCGTTTTCTTGACAATGTTTTTTTATGTTTTACCTTCGAATTTAAGTCTTAGATAAATATTAGGTCTGTTATGAGATTAAGGTTGGTCAGCGATTTCCCTACACCCCTCATATCGCCGAATGAGAACAGAACAGGCCTAGGTCCCAATTTTGAGTTTTCATTTTACGGGTTAGCGCAGGATCAAATTGATGTTTACAACTGACAATGTATTTCAATTGCGTCGCGTGGGAGAAATAGACTATTGGCTCATCCTAATATTATTTATATTAATTTTCATTTTAACGTCATGTAAGATTTAAATTTAATAATCACTCTTATCTTCAGAGTATCACTCACCCCTTGATTGGCGTATTATTTGACTATTATTTTGAAGTCCTAATTTTATTTTTTAATTAGAATTCGAAAACCATGATTTATGAACATGCGATAGTTTGTAGGGATGCGACGAATCCAAAAAGGTTCGGCTCGGCCGAATCCGAGTATTTGCGCTGGACTCGTGTCCAAGTCCCGAGTCCAATACTTTTACATAGTTTCGAAATAAATACAAAGTGATGCTGTTGTTCGCGTATATTGGCCGTAAAATAAACATTTTGTAGGATAAGACTATGTACCGGTAATTCAAAACGTTGCACATAAACACTATTGCTTTCGGGACATTCATCTTTTTTAGTTAGCGCTGATAATGATAAATAAGAATGCGTAATTGTTGATTACAATGCGGTGAGGCGTATTTGGCTTTCATTTTTTCCGACGCAATCACTTTTAATAATACATATCACGGCGCATTGAAAAGCAAAATAAAATTTATTAACATTAATTCAAAACGAATTACGAGTAAGAATTTACCTACGGCTTTCGCTAACATACGGAAACGATAAATGTGAGAAATCTTGTGTTATGTTTTTTTTGTTTTCTTTCTGCGCCTATCATATCTTTTCTAATTTTGCTTAAAGCCCGAAAACATTGCCCCTTTAAATTTTAAAACGTCGAAACAGATAAGTAAGACTAATAATGTATTCTATGAAAATTTCTCGAGATTTTAGAGAAAATAATATTTTGACCACATAGAAATGCCATTATTGCCGATTTATCCAAGTATTTAGTATCAGTGTTTTATTAACCCAAAGCTGAGTTGCTTGAATACTCAACACTACTGAGTATTCAGGAGATGGCCAAGTGGCGAGTTTTTGATTATTATTATATTACAAAAATAACACGAACACGATAAAAAATTTCGAGACATAAAAAACTCAACTATCAGCTTCACAAATATTGCATCCTGGGGACAGTAATGATAATATGGCTTGCTAAAATTGATATCGTAATTTACAAATTGGGATATGGAGGATCAATTCCTACACAGAAGATAAAAAATAAAATTATTATGTTTTGTGGATTTACTCTTTGGTAGCACTTCATCTTCACCGATGTGAACTCACAATTCTGTTCGAAATATAAAAACCAAACAACGACGTGGTTGCGTGAGTATCAATATTTACATGTAAATAAAAAGAGCTCTAATATAGTTTACCAGCATTAACTGGATTGTTGGCCGCCGAAATGATCGCGGTGACAAAAATCGATTATAACAAAATTATGAAATAAAAAACGACGTGTTGTTACCGATTGTTCAGTCTTCTAGTAAATTTCGAAAAGAGTTTTGACAATATTTTACAACCCGGTATTTGTTCAAAATATTCGAATAATTCGATGGGAAAAAATCGATTTTGGCCACCACTAATCAGGGCACGTGTAATACTCATTGAATGACAGTAAACATCGACTTGATTAACATTAAGTAATAGTTTCCCATTTCATGCATTTATTTGGCGCTATATGCGAGCTTGTATCTGTGCTTATACATATCAACGAATATAACGTCACTGACATCCGCGAGTTGAACTTCCCTCTAAAATTAATTTTCAGCATTTTTATTGTTTTTATTATTGTTCTATTTCTAAATGACTACAGAATAATGGTCGATTAGTAGATGTTCGAAATATTTATTAAACGCCTTACGTCGTTGTAAATGGCACTTTTGACGCACTGTTTCAATTTCACCGTAAGCGTTGGATAAAATAGGGAACACTCTTCGTGACAAAACAGAACGAAAAAGTTGAATTTCCCGTCAAATGTGCCATCAGACTGCGAATAACTATCGCGTGACGTATGATGTCCCGGACTTATCACCGGTAAAATCATCAAAGACTCGGGCCGAATCCGAGCACGAGTCATTGTGTTTCGAATCACATCTGGAATGAGCCTGACTGATTTCTGTGGTTTTAATTTTCCCATCATTACTTCTACGGCTAAATATAAATTAAATGTTTATTCATTGCTCCGTCATAATTGATTTGAGATTAGGATAGATGTTGCGATTCCGAGTAGGTTTGAGTTTGATTGAGAAGATGCTGAATGACTCTTTCAATTCTAAAGGTTGTCGACTGGTGTTATACAGCATGCATTATACGCACACTAACGCAAAGCCATTGGGGGAGACGGGAGTTAGTCTCGTGTAACCTCTACTGATAGTTAAATTAGCTTTTTCGCGTGACTTCTGTATTCATGATGGATCCTGCCAACTCCGGACTCCACGACTATCACAAGAAACGCATTAAAAGCATTACAAAATTCGCTTCGTCGACTTTACAAAATCACCGTAAGGGATCAAAGGCTGAGTCTAAAACACTTTGTAGAATGTTCTAGTAAACTTATTGTGAGATCAAGTACATCACGGAACAATTATTTCATGCTGAGGTATCGATTGTGATTTGCTTTCTGTATACAAATAATTTTTTATTCTTTGTTTGGTCACAATTAATCTAAAAATTCAATTGTTAACATATTTTATATTTATCGCCCTTTTCAAATCGTATGAGTGTTTTTTCTTACCATTGTTGTGAATTACCTGTCAGAAAAACGTTACAGTAATACAACTGTGTTTGTGTGCAGCAGGATTTCTGAATTGCATAGTATGGCCATGTTTATTCCTGCTACAGCATTCTTGTATCATACGCATACATTAGTGCAGAGTCATTGGGGACGGATTGGGAGTTAGTCTCGTGTGGCCTCCAGCCCTCTACTGATAGTTATATGAACAAAATATTGACCTATTGCCATTCCACAAAAATGTAAGAAAGTGAGGTTTACGAAATTAGTTTTATTCGATGTATTGAGTTATTGATCGAATATTAATTTATCTATCTAAAATTTGTCATGTTTAGTATTTGTGTCATTCTTACACTGCAAAAATCAATCGATCAGCTCTGTTGATATTCTGCATAACATTGTGATCCGCCTTTCATGACTCATCTTTGAGAAAGTATTTGGAATAGTATAATATTCATATTTGTTCATTTTGGTTATCAAGTAAGTATCAATTTTTGAATTTTGGAGAATTTTGATGTTTAAACTATTTGTTCTATTTAAAACATAGTAGGCTAGGTAAAGTTGGATTGACAATATTCTTCGCTTAATTAATATCCTTGATTATATATTTATTGTATTGTAATTTTCATAACTCAGATAAATACGATTCTAGTTTTGCTGCATAGCATATCATATCTTTGTGTCTTTGAGTTAGTGTGTTTAATGATAATTATCATGAGTACTTTGAAAATATATTTAAATTTACCAATAACAAACACTCGCTCGTACCTTATTAAGAAATATCTATTAGTAATCGTTCGTTAATTCAATTGTATCTCGTCTTTGTGGATGCACTATTCTAATTCTTACTTTCCTTCATCATCAAATTAATATTCTGTTTCATACAGCCTTCTTTAGTTTGCACGATCCTACTTGTTTAAACAATGTATATTTGAATCATTATCCAAAACTGCTCATTGGTATTAGTAAATTGTTGTTGTTTTTTCTTTCTAGTATACTCCTTGTTGCTGCATTTTTGTTTTAAAAAAAAATTTCTTTTCTCTTCAACAATTGGACCAACGAACTATTTACACTTTGTGCTTAATCTGTCATATGTTACTAAGTCAGAATAAAGTCAGCAATGTTAAACGGCACCATGAAACGAATCATGAAAACTTCTCACGAGACTACCCTCGTAAATCAGCTATATGGAAACACAAATTAAATGAGCTCAAATTGTTACTAAAAAGACAGCAGGAATTTATGTTATCATAAATATCATTTGGCCTGATACAACAACTGAAGCTAGTTTCGTTATAGCATGAAATATTGCTCGCGCTAAACACCCATACTTTGACTCTGATTTTGTAAAAAAAAAGTTTTGCTGATGTTGTCGCAGTCTTGGATCCCAACAACACAAAGTTTCAGCAAATAATAGCCCAAACGGGGGTTCGCGCCGTACTACACAAAGGCGCATCTCCCAAATTAGTAACAACGTAACAGTTACAATGCAAACTGATTTAATGAGCTCTCTTGCAATCAGTTTAGCTCTTGGCGAATCAACTGATATATATACAAGATAATCCACAGCTATCAGTATTTGTTTGCTATGTTTCTCGGGATATGATTGTGAAAGAAGAGCATTTGGATCTGTTGTATTGAAAGAGTCGACTCGTGGCTCTGATATAAAAAACGCACTCGGCTCAGCCTTAGCAAAAGCTCATGTTTCCCTTGATAGGCTTGTTAGTGTTGTTGCAACCGATGGAGCACTAGCAATGGTGGGCAAGAATGCTGGCTTAATTGGACTTATGAAGAAGGATCCAGACTTCCCAGAGTTTCTCCCGGTACATTGCATTAGTCATCGTGAACATCTGGTAGCCAAATACTTCAACTACGAAGCCGTTATGAGAACTGTCCTGGAAATTGTACATTTCATTCGCTTATCTGGAAAAACCCACAGACAGTTTCGTAATTTTGTTGAAGATTTGGGGTTGGAAAATTCACCGAGAGATGTCTCTTTGTATTGTAGTGTGAGATGGTTGTCTACCAGCAACGTTTTGGAAAAGTTTGTTATTTGTTGGAGCTGATAACAGCGTTTCTCAAAGAAAAAGGAAAATGCTACCCACGGCTGGAAAATGATGAATGGCTGCAAGACCTAATGTTTTTCACAGATATAATGGGGCACTTGAAAACTCACAATTTGGCACTTCAGAGCAATGAAAATATTATTTCTGATCTTGCCCAAACGGTTTTCAGTTTTCAAAACAAAATCAAAGTTTTTCAAAGAGACTTACTAACAAGAACATTCAGTCATTTTCCGAAAAGGAGGCTGACTGCATGTCCTGAGACAATATTAAAAGAAAGCAAGCTGGATGAATACAAAGATAAAATGCAAGAGCTTCTGGAAAATTTTGAGACCTGGTTTAATGATTTTAAGGAATTGAAGCCATGCTTTTCTATTCTCAGAAATCCATTCACCACCAACGTGATCGATGATGGCTGTCCACTTCAACGACTCGGCTACCGAAATAGAGCTAATTGAACTGCAAGAAGATCTGGCTCTCGCGAGTTATTTTCATAAAAGCGAATCTGCGATTGATTTCTCGAAAAAATTACTACACGATAAGTACCCTGAAGTTAAATTGGCTAGTGTTCGGCTTCTTTCTATTTTTAGCACAACATACTGCTGTGAGTTGTTATTCTCCGTAATGAACTTTAGAAAATCAAAATTCCGTGCCAGTTTAACAAATGAACATGTGACAGAATTGGTTCGTACCGCATTGACTACATATCGCCCAGACTTTCGAAAATTTACAGAAATAATGGAAACACACAAGTTTCCTGATATGGCCTCGTAATAAATACTTTTCAATATTATTGGACACGTAGTGGACCTATGAATCGTTTGACATTTTTGAACACCTAGTGGAAACCCCCTAAAAATCTATTTTCTCTTCGATTACTGGTCCAATTTCTTTAAAATTTTCAGTGGTTGAAGAATTTTTCTCTAGAAGGTTATTACTTTTAGTTATTTCAAATATTCCTGTTAGCTTTGTGTGATTCGTTTTTTGTTGGCTAGCCTATGATGTCACCGAAAGTTCTGCGGACGCACATCAGCTGATTCCGCGCTCGGCGTTTGCCGGTGGATCGGGTGCTTAGTGACGTGGACTGTGGGACCTGATCTGGGAATAAAGAAGTGACCCCGTTACGGGAAAGTTACCGCATATGATTTTCGGAAATTGGCGAAATACTCTGCATGTCCATATATTTGAGCATAGCTCTCTTGTTCATATATTCATTGGTATTAGACTCTTGTGTAAATTTCTTGTCTGTTCTTGGTATTCTAATAATAATAAATTCACAAATTCTGCGGCGCTTTTAAAGTTCTGACTTGCAGCATGCGGCTCTTATACTAAAAACTTGTGCACAACCCTGATATAAACAAAGGATTCTAAAGTGTAGCACACTGCAACAGGAATAACTAAACCTAATAATTCTCATAACAAAAGGTTAATATATCGTCGCGTAGGATGTTTTCTTTTTATATTGAACTAACTGCTCGTGCCGAAGGTTGAGAGAAATGTCAAACCACAAATATAGCAGAGACGCGGAAGATCCATAGAAATAATGCGACCGTGGAACAAAGCAACTTTCGAAGCTTTACGAGGGAGAAATGTGCTCATGAAGCCTATTGAAAACAAAGGAAGATGGAGACTTGGTACATGCTCTCAGCAGTTGTCTCCAATATCATATTGCGTGACTGTCGATGGGAGAGACTACAGAAGAGATATGGCGTTTTTTTGAGACCAACATATATGATGACGAGAGTTTGAAACAAACATGAACCCTCTTCGGGTGCTAAACAACGACCAACGTCATCTGGAGTAGACGACTCCGAAACTCCTCGTTCAGTTGAAGCAAGCAAGGGACCGATGACGCCGAATTTCAGACAACGTAAAAATGAGGGCTGTTTCATGTTAATCAGTATTTCATAAAGTTTTTTATTGACACATTTAATACACTTCTAAACGTTTAATTGAAAATATTATTACTCTATTTGATACACTTCTATATGGGCACCATTAGTTGCACGAAGCACACCTGGACGGTACTCAATTTCCTGCCATGTTCGTTGTAGCATTCCCTCATCAATGGCATTGGAAATTCTTTGTTTTAGATTAGTCATGTCCCGTACTTTTGTTCGCTACACAATATCCTTTACGTAACTCCAAAGAAAAAAGTCCAAGGAAGTGATATTTGGTGAACGTGGTGGTCGTAAAATCGGCCCGTCCCTTTCAATCCATCGGTCGGTAAAAGTTTTATTGATGGGGAACTCACGACATGCCCCAGTGTGGTGGCGTACTATCTTGCTGGAATATGATGGTTGGTTGAAAGTCAATCAGCCACATATTCGGTCAGAAGGTTAAGATACACATTTGCAGTAATTAATGCCTCGTTGAAAAAAAATTGCCTAATTATTCGATTGCACATGATTTCACACCAAACATTCACTTTTAGTCTATCTATCTCGCCGAAGTTTTCTACTCGCATGTGGGTTTTCCATTCCCCAAATTCTTTTATTGTGTTTAACTTTTCTGAGACATGAAAAGTTGCCTCATCACCGAAATAGACTCTGCCCCATTCACAGGAATTCGTTTCAGCGTGTTCACTGCAAATTCTTTTTGTCTGAAATTCGTGTGTAGGACTTTGTGCAGTGCTGAACGTAATAATTCCAATAGCCTGGCAGCGGTACGGATGGAATTCATAGGAGGACGTTGAAAGGCATGCCTTACACGATCCATGTTTTCTTCAGATGTTCTTGGTCGCCCATTTCTGCTTGTATCGAACGCTGTCCCTGTCTCCTTAAATTGCTTGTTCAATATACGAATTGAAAGACGTGATGGTGGGTCTCTTCCATACTTATGTCTGAAGTTTCGCTGGGTCTGAAATAGGATTTTGTCTCAATGAACCAGGATACAACATTGCGCCTTTTCTTGAGAATTAGTCGATTCATGGGGGTTCGTTTCATATAATTCAATCATTAAACATAAGAAATTTTATCTGAAACAATAAATATTAGTGTCAATAAAAAATTTATGAAATTCCGATTAACATAAAACAACCCTTATTTGCGATATCTCATCATTTCGCTTTGTAATATTTTTTATAAATTGTAAAGAGACTTTATAGACACCCTATAGCAGTGGTCTTCAACCGGTTATACGGTATACCCAAGTGTATACCAGACCATAAGTTGGGTATAGAACTGATAAAGGGTATACGAAAGGTGTACAGCCTAAATCAGGAAATCTAAACTCTGATATATGTAATAAATTATAAAATATTCAATTGGAGACAACAATGCCAACACGGCGCACATGATATATAAAATGTTATTAACGCTAAGAACCGACGCGAGCACGTTGTTACATCACAAATTATATAGATAATACGGTCATGTGTCTGGGTTGGTGATTTCGGCTGCCATGCACTTTGTTTTACGTCGAACATTATTCCCGTCAAGACGGCAGTCCGTCAAATTTATCACTTGCGGTCACTAGCCTATTAGATTGCATGATGATATTGCAGTACAATATGTGCTTAAAATTTATTGTTTATTTGAGCCTTAAATAAACATTGGTATTTGTAAGGTATACAAAGTTCTTGAAAAACTGTAAAAGGTATACTTCGATAAAAAAAAGGTTGAAGAACACTGCCCTATATAGTACAGGGGTGTCAAATTCGCGGGACGCATGCGGCCCCTGAGAACTTCCAATGCGGCCCTCGAACGCTTAACAATAAGTTTTTTCTATCTAAATGAAATATATTTTTCAAATCTATTAAAGTGAAATTGATTATTCACACAGAAAAAGAAAATTGATTGAAAGTAGTTGTGGAAAATTAAATTTTTTTGGTTCTCAATTTGACCCAAATATGGATACACCCCAAGGTAGCAAAAGAATAATTGAAAAAAACACTTCGGGGAGTAAATGAAAAGCAAAGTACATCAAGAAGGTGGCATTTTTGAAGGAAAATGGGAGTTACAATCTTTCTGCATTTCACAAAATTCTATAGCACATTTTTAATTTATCACATTTCTATCAGTACAATGAAAGAATACAATATAAGTAGACATCATTAGAATAAGCTCAGCAGTCAATGTGACAAGTTTAAAGATCAACTTCAAACAGAAAATTTTTATGTGTTTGTATATTATCATAAATATACAACAATCACAACTCGATCAGTCTTATGCCACGTAATGGTAGGAAATGGGGCGGGGAATGCCTGGTCAGAAAAGTCAGTCATTTGTTTGTTTACTGGTGAACGTAATATTTTTGCATTACTGAAGTTAATCAAACTTCTCAACGATTCAGATTAACCGATGATCATGTGACCTTGGCAGTGGCGTAGCAAGACTCTCGTGGGCTCCCCCGCAAAAATATTTCGTGGAAATGACCCTAAAAACTTTCGGACATGAGCTAAATGCCACTGAGAGGTTTTGCTTTCGACATAATTCTGACAGCCTTCGTAATTTTGCCGGTGCGATCAAACCACAAGACGCCGAAAATCGACGACTCCTTGGCATTGTTACGTAACAAAACGATTTGAGCAGAACTAAAATCAACGTTATAAGATGTGCATTACCGGTTTTGCAATGCAGCTTTTGGTTTTGCGGCCTAAATTTCTTGGGCCCCTTTGCGCTGTGACCAGCCCCCCCTTCAGGTCTATATATTTAGATTAGGTCATTTTTAGTGTATGTATTATTCTTTTCTTATCAAAACGTTGTTTAAAAATGTTTGGATAAAAAGTTATGCTTTTTTGTAATAAATATAGTATATTGCAATATTAGCGAAATGCAAAAATTAATATGTACGGTAAATAGCATTTAAATTTGAGAAAATAACAAAACTTCATTCAGCTGTTTAATTACATCACAATATATGTCACAAACTACACCTGTCTAAAATATGCTGCAAGTATATATTATTAAAATATATCAAGAACTATTTGCGGCCCTTTGTACAATTCCAAAAATGCAATGAGGCCCTGCTATAGAATAAGAACATGGATTCTTCGTACTCCTGATAGATACGTGCCATGAACATTAATGTGTTAATACGTTTTTTTATAAAGAGGGGGAAGTTACGATATGACGTAATATTCACTTATAGTTATATCGCAGCATGTGTTTAATGACCTTGGTTGTTCTAGTAAAACGTGGTATACGTGTGACCGTTCGTTCTACTGTGCGATGTGCTTTTTATGTTTCTGATACTATAAGTCGCTGATACCTAGTCAAGTGTTGTGAACCCGTAAAGCTAGATAGAGAACGAAACATTATCAATAATTCAACCTCGAGTCTAACATTGAATCCTTGTTGAATTACTTTTCAAATTGACCTCATTCCCCTCGCGGTAATCAATAATAAGACCCACGAAGTCTCATAACGGTGGGTTACCATCTGCATTTGATAGGCTTAAAAATCACATATATATATATATAATCTAACAACTATGTCAACCTGCCCCGAAGTGACAAATTATGGTATTAAAATAATCCATGCCCCAATATTGCTATCCTACCAGTTTCATTTCAGGAATGTTGCCTTGATGCAAATGAAATTTACTCGCAGTACAAACAAATGGGACAAAAGGCTTTATTCCCAACAACGGCCTGAAAGCTATAAGCTACTCAAAGAAAAACATTGTTCAAATGATCACTGTGTTGTGCCATCCTCAAATATTGTTTCATATTTACGTTTACTGTTCCCTTTGGAATAAAATCTCCCTCTCTCCCTAAGAGAGTCGATAATAGTAACTCCTGAAATCAGAAAACGACTATCGATATTCAGGTCTTCGCCAAGGAGTCAATGGGGCTCCATCACTTTGCAATTTCTCTTCCGTTCAATTGCTAGTCCATGTCGGGCATGGAAGTAGCTTGATTACCTTTTAACTGTTCCTCCGTTTGCAGGGACTTGCTCGGTGGAAGCTACAACAGAGTGAATTGATTGTGTGAATAGAATACCCAATTCCAATATAGCACGTAATGGTCTGATGTGGAATTCGAAAATGTAAAACGAATCGATCGAGCAAGGGATGAATTCAGCAATGCGCGAACTGGTTGCCCACGATTAACTCTTGCATTCATATGATTTGGCGACGAATTGCACTGATGAGACCATATTTATGATGAACATGATCTGTACGCTTTTCATAATTTTTAAAGATTAGGACCATTGCGTGGGCATCTCCAACAGCCTCCAGGCTTTCCATAGAAATTATACAGACATATCCATTTGTAACTTCTAAAAACAGACTTGGAAACGACATTTGAAACATGCAAATTGAGTTTTCTGAAATATGTACTTTTATATTCCCTGTTCGTTTATATAATTTATTAATTACAGATTTTTATTTTCGTTTTAAAACAAGTGTTTCCCAAAGAAATAACACTACGCATTTTACAGAATAATATTCTACAGATTATAAATTTGATAAAAACTTCATATGTTTTTTAATTTAAACAAAACTTGTCCCCCTGAATTGAACACTCATTGAAATCTATTGATTTGAAACACAATCCCATTTTTAAAATAATACAGACTGTTTACATGAGGACATATCACATAGTACAAACACCATGCTAAAATGAGCAAAGAATTCAATATATATACAAATATACAAGTGCAGAAAGTGTGTGATAAAAAATATTGATGAAAATATCACATTTTTATGATTTAGTTAACAGCCAATAAAAACCAATGAATGAGTTGTAGCTTGGGTGTCTAATGCAACTGATTATTTCCACATACAACAAATCAGCAATACAGTATGTATGTTCACTTCAAGTCAAATCATATTTCACAAGGTAATGCAAAAAATAACCTCGAATAACTTACAATTTTGTTCTAAGATTTTGAAAAACGTGACTCAATATTCTGGTTAAAATGAACAACCATTACAAATAGCATGACACCACATCAATAAAAAGTTTGATAAAATATTACAATTATAGACATAAAATTAAATCGCCCATTTATTTTACAATGTATTAATTGATCCAAACACTTCCTGTGATGCATAAGTCATATACAAAAATCCATCTTCATCTTTTTCTACTGCGTAAACCTCAGAAATTGGTGATGAAACACTGACCATGCTCCTTTGGTTGACAAGCAAGAAGAATGCCTGGTTGGGACTCAGATGAAGTCTTCTCCTGAAAATAGATTAAAACAACCAAACTTTATAATACTTTCCTCCAATCATCCTACAGAATATATCGAAATATTTTAAAATCTATTCCTGCCACGATACTCACATAGTATGTGTCCTAACTTTTATTCCGATTTTCTTAATCTTAGTAGTATTAAGAGTTCAGGGACTGTCTGTGTTAGCCAAGTCAATATACCCCCCGCCCATAGGCTTCCATCCCTTTACACAACTTGATGTGGAGTAGGCCACAAAGTCCAAGAATTCAAACAACCATTAGAATGGCATGGTGGATTTAAAAAAAATTTTAACACAAAAGATAAAATAATGCTACTATTTTTTATATGGACTAAAGAAAATGCAACTTTTAAAAAGAGAGAATCAATTTGTATTTAATCATCAGAAAAGATAAACCCTACAGATCTCCCAGATGTATTGTTCACTCTTTATCTAATTGGCGTGCAGATGTGTTTTAGATGTGTATGGCTCTTGTGACGATGTGAAATGACTATTATTCACACATCCCCACAAAGAAAAAGGTGAAAATAAAAACAAAATCACATTGTTATGAGGGCATTAACATTCCTGAGTAAATAAAAATTACTTTATTTAATGGTTCGGATGTATCATTAAATTGTCAAATTTTAAAAATGACGTTATTACTTCTTCGGGCAATACAAAATTAGCCAAGCAAGTATTTTGATTAGTGAACAAATAGCTCACGGAGCCCCTATATTTCTCTCACGTGGCACTGGGGCCCCGTATGGACCACTACGAGAACCTATGATCTATAGTAGCCTACCTCTTAGGTATTACATATATTTTTTAAAGTTTATTTATAGAAATTTTATTTTGCACAATTAGCTCCTATTGGCCGGCTAAACTGGCTGGATATATTTTTGGTTTCTTCAAAGCTTTGTAAACTAATCTTCACTGACATCATAGCCAAGATAATAATTTGTTATCTGAGTAGAGTAATCTAAAATGGAAACAAATGGCTGAAAGAGTCATGCTTCTGAGTAATAGGCATCATACAGTGACTCGATAAAATATAAGCCATTGATTGCCTTCGTTTTACAGTAAAGTTCAAATTCCCACCGTATTATTCGCACCAATTCACACATCGAGACATGATCTGGCACAAGAAATTTGGTTTTATCAAGTATCGGCAAATTCTTTTCTCCATGATATTTCTCTATTATCACCTGTGAAAATATATATATTTTAAACAAGTTATATATGAAAATATTAGGTTTTCTTTGGAAATCTCAAATAGGCTTTTCTTTGCTGTGATATGGGTCCACAAAAACAATGAAATCTATTTTGTTAAAAAATAACATACGGTAATTATGAATTGATAACTTTAACAACTGGAATTTGCGTGTAAAAAAAATTTGAAAATGATAACAATACTCACTGGAATTTTGTTGGGATGTTGTTCACGAATCTGTAGGACATCAGAAACTCTTTCATCTAAATTTGAAAACAGCATTTTAAATTACACAATAATCATCTAAGCTGGGAATCATTATCGAATCATTATCACTTTAAAACTCAAACCTCATTTCATGAAATTTGTGAAACATCGTGCTAATTTCACAGTAATTTCAATTATCTAAATTGTACAACATTTTGCAAAACTTCTTCACATTTCAGTGCCATTCAAACTAAATATTTTTGTCATAATAAGCCCCCATAAGTTTGAAGAATTGGCATGAAACATATTTTTATTTAGAAAAAAAGCTATCAATTAACGAACATTTTAACAAGATGATCGGTCGGAGACCGAAGACTTATTGACACCGCGTGTCCCACCACTAATTAATTGATAACTCGCTAATTACGCGACATAATTCATCCAAAATCAATAGGCTTCTGGTCCGAGATATGATGAATGCACATGCAAAATTTGGAGCAGATTCACGCCTTCGTGAGATATCGCGTGCATCTAACAGACAAACAGACAAATACCTATCAACATACTTACCGATCAAAAGATTGATAAGTAATAAACAACCAACATAATCCATCATTGGGTAATTTAAATAAAAAAATATAGATTTTATTAATTACTAAACCCACCAAATGCTCTGCGTTGCTTAAATGTTCGCTCGGTCATATTTCCTTGTAACTTTGTCAAACCAACCAGAATACTGTTATCTGGATGTAATCTTATTTAATATATAACTGAAATCTGTTAAATAAAATGTTTGAATAAATATCTGAAATCAGTTCAGAAATGCAAATCAACTCTCCTTAAAATAAGTGAACACCTCAATTAATATATAAAGTAACAAACTGTACTGCCATAGGTCTGTCAGTCTGTAGGTACCAGCGAGATAATCGGCTTAACTCAAATATCTATGTTCAGATATGCAACAGCTTGAATTTGTTACCTTCTACAATATCTATCATTGCCTTTTGGATATCATCACTTTTTATATTGCAACATAGCAATTTGTCGTGGTGAAATTGTATATAAATATCTAAACTACAGAACTACCTGCTGTAGTTCAATCGTTTCTAGAAGCCCTGTGTAAATGTGTATATGGTGCAATGGTTCATATAAACTTACTAACAGGCTAATTATGATAGTTTGTTGGACAAATGAGATCCCATAGCATACAGGCAGCCTACATAATTTCAACAAAACCAAAAAATTTATAGATAATTCATTTTGAAAACTCAGGGATACAAACAAATTTAAAATCATAAAATGAAGTTAATTATGGAGAGTGAGGAAAACCTTTGAAAAAGTTTAAAGCATGAGAAATATCATGCGTCTACTCATCAACACACACAACAGCACAAAGAGTTGAGTGAAAACACAAACCTAGGTCAATAGGTAAGATGGGATTTACATATTTAGGGGAGGAAAGATGGGATTTACATTTTTAGGAGGGAGAGGAAAGGTGGTAATACAGCTTATTTATATGACGAACCTCGGCCTCTCGTCACGTCCGGTCCATGTCGGGTATGAGATTAGTTAGCCAGTTTTTTGTTTTTCAGATGCATGGACTTGATGTTCAGATGGCGAAGGGAGGCGTAACCGACCAACGGTAACGTGAACCACCCTACGGCGAGGAGGAGTTCAGTATTCCTCTTGCATATAATTTACCCCGCAAGGGATTCGAACCTGCGAACCCATGCAGAGAAATCACAGGCGCGGTAGTGATCGTATTCCTAACGCTTAGCACGATGCGCCACACCATCAAGCGATGGTCGAGGTAGATGAGACTTGAGTCAGAATTAAGTTTTGAGCCATTGGATTTTTAATTCTCTTTAAACTAAAATTACAGTAACCTATTCAATTTGATACAAAGCTAGGGTGAAAAAGTGCAGAAGTGAGAAAGAAGGATCAGAAAGCAGGAAAGTAGAAGGCACGATACACACAAGCTCAATTCAAAGATATGTTGGTACTGTAAATCTTCAAATTATATGCACGTAAACTCAAAAACACTGATTGGGGAAAACACTAATCAAAACTTTTATCATTCTAACCACCTATTTTTCATTTTTTTTATGATTCCGCAATGTGGATTAATCAATGATAAAAGAATAAATAAAATATTGTATGACAGTATGAATAACAATAACTACTGCAATAAGTATATACATGTTACTGTGTTAAAACACGAATACATTATCAGTAGAGTCAGAGAGTTGTTCCATACTTCCATTACTGCATTATACTGTTATATTCCATTTTTCAATATAATATTCCGTTGTTATAACTGTATAACCAGCATGTATTTTCCGCAATAATTGTCAGTCAGTACATTATTCAATAAGTAACATTAAATATTTATTAAGAAAAAACAAATTAAACTTCTATGAGTTTCAGTGTACAGCAGTATAATATCAGAATATTGAGTTCTTTTGTAAATTTAGGATTTTATCTATACTTTTCAATATTTCTTCTTGATTTCATTATCACATTGTTTACCCTTGGGTTAACATTTTAAAAAATGACTGAATTCCTCTCTACGGTCTCTAGCCAAATTTTATGTCTGGCAGTGCAATACCAGAATACAGCAATGACAGAATAGCATGAATAATACTGTAATAACTAATAAGACAATGGCATTACGTTCTAAGTTTGACAGATGTGAGTAACATTGATGATTCAAATCTAATAAAATACAAGTAATATAATTATTTTTCAATACACAATGATGGATTTTCCAAGCAATAGAAAAAACATAATCATAAACGTTGTATGTGAGGGACAATTCCAAACTAAATATGACTTAACTTGGTTCTTGTGAGCAGAAAACCCATAAGTCATCCCCAAAAATGTGTCTAATTCTAGGTTTTATTTCAAGATTAAGAACATCCCACCTATTTTTTTTTTATTAATATATGTTAATACAAGAATACAATAAAGTTCTTCACATTACACATCCCACCTATTTTCAGCACAAGCTATAGAATCGACATTGCAGCAGCAGTCGAAATGGAAGCCATACATTCGCCCGTTCGCGGAGCAACAACAGTCTTCTTTGTTTACTTCTGCTAGTCCGTCATCTGATCAGCTGATTAAAATAATCATAATTCTTTAACGCCACCGCTGGTCAGTATTATTTATCTCAAAACTCGTTTTCCGATCTCCGTGCCAGTGTATCGGAAAAGTAGAAAGACATGAAAATTTGACTCATGAAACCCCAAATGCTGAACCCACAGAGAACAAGTCGAATCGATATTGTGTAAAAGTCGCAGAGCTACTTTTCGTTTTCCAGACGGCTTCACAATGATCAAATGAAGCCTAGATGAAGAAATTTGAAATCAGATGTTTTCCCCGTGTTAATTTCGAAGTGATCATGTGAAATAACAACTTTACCTCCTACATCCTTTTCTGAACTCAAGGTCTATAAATGGAAAAAATCCTCGCTCAGTCGCGCCCTTGATAACCAATATAGCCGTGAGACGAGGCCGTTTATCTTCCAGTTTCGTAGCGCACATAAGTGAACTATCAGAAAATGATTTTAAAATAGTGCTTAAAAAATTGCACGTTTTGCGAAAAAGACGCTTTTACTACAAAAAATATCTGTCCTATAATCTCTGCTTTTCGGCAACATTTGTCAATGAACGCAGACTTCTGCATGGCGTAACAATAAAATTTTATCAGGTGTAGGTGGATTCCCGAGGTCGAATGAATCTCAGTTTGTACTGCCCGCTCTTGCGTTGAGGTAGGTAGCTCTTTCATCGTCTTTTTTAGTTATTATTAGTAAAGTTATGATAAGACTGTGCAAAAATTTTACGTAAGCTATTAAACACTTCTAGATCCTTACCGTGGATTGCAATTTTAATTGAGCATTAGCTCCCAAAACGTTTATTAGGTACGGTAAGGTAACTTCAAGGAAGGCTGGACCCAAAAAGATATAACGTTACCCCGAACAACGTATACTAGTAATAGTATGAAAGGTTTATGATTAATTTAATGACAATTTTTAAGTTTTCAGCAGACTTATACTACCATATACACTACAGCATATTTGATTCAGAAAATGTTTGCGATAAAAGGGGGGGGGGTAACGAATTTTACAGAGACAGGATACATGTTCAAGACCTTACTGGCCTAAGACACAGAACAGATGTGCGACATGTACCCCTAACAATTATAACTGCAGTTTAGGACTGCTGCGTTATACTAGAACTAGGACAACAGACATGAAATTGATTATACAAATAAAACTCAAGAAAAAAAGAAAAAAAAGAAGTAAAATACACAAGAAAAAAAGGTACGGCACAACGGCGATATGTACAATAGTCAGTTTATGGCACGTCCATATCCCAGGTTCCGGTGTGAAAAGATGGAGATAGGGTATGGGTCGCTGAATTGATATGTTTTTACACTAAGTCTCACGAAACAGGTAAAGATTTGTTCGGGATATAAAATTGCCAGAAACCAACGTTGGATGGGGCCACGACACGAGAAAATTTTAAAAAAGCTTAATGTAGAAAACCTTTGGTAAACCTGAGCTGTTAATCATAGTTTGCACTGGACCAAAGATATGGGAACAATAGAGAGTCTGGCATAAAATGCGGCCACTTTCAGCGCTATTGTGTAAAATTTATTGCCGCCATGTCTCAGCATGATAACTATGAATTTTTAATGAATGACCTAGTTTGCATAATTGACGATACAGCGAAGGAAGTAAGTGAACAATAAAACTATGCAAGATAGAGAGACAATAGATCCGTGGGGTCTCGAAACTTGTTTTCCGATCAATGGAGGTTTGTTTCATGATGACATTGTTAATCGATTGGGGGTATTTTTCATCGTTGTAGTTCTTTTCTCATCTTCTATGTACCCTTTGTATCTGAAAAGTAATTTCGGAAAAGTAGGATGTCCTTAACTCACTAAATCTAATAGAATTCCGATAAATGTCTCTTAAGCTTGGATCTAAATTCGGACGTCGTTTTCGAGCTTTTAATACTATTAGGATTAGGCTACGGGTTCCATACTTACCAGTAGAAGATAAAAACATCAATGTGCAAATCTCTAATGTTAGTAAATCTTCAACACGTAGTAGTTTTTCACTTTTGAACAAATATCAAATATATAATTTGAAAATAGCCCGGGCAGCAGTGATAAGTTAGGCAGGAGTTGAAAGACAAATAGCGTTGTAAGGTGAGAAATCAGGTTGTAGGCCGACAGCTAATGTTATAGGGCATTTCAGACAGTGTAATTTATCAAGATTCAATGTAAATGTAATCTAGTATGCCAACACTGCATGCCTGTAGTACATCAGATAAAATGTTTCTATATTTTCGCTGTTTGATCAAGGCAACCCTTCACTGGGTTAGGCCCTCGACAGCGAAATGATCTACTATAAGACAGAGAAGATGAATTACGTCGCCTCTCCGACTCCTGCTGCAGAAGATTCTCTTCCTGAATACCAGGACTTCTCAACAGTGATGCAATTCCTCAAAGACGACGCGTCAACAGAAGAGGTTTTTGAGCAAATAAAGAGGCTCTTTGAAGGTCAAAAGGAAACTTGGGAAATGCCAGATGCCGGAAGAGTTTTCTTTCCTCTGCAGCTGGCCAGATACGAACAGCTAAGAGTACCATCGTCGTATCATTGCCAAGTGAAGCTCCAATTCGAATTCCAATACGGGGAGTTCCAGATGAACCTCGTGCACCAGGGCTGTCAAGAAGATCAACAAACGTTGTCAACAACGTTGTCAGTCCACTTAAAACACCATCGCCTCAACTACTAGGAGTCCTCAATCACCGGGAATACGTACTCCGTCCCACCCCCTTTCAAAGGGCAGGGTCGTTCACGTAAAGGCTTATAGGTTGCGTCTTATTGCGCAAACCACTGAACTGCAGCTTGAGAAGATGTGTATGAGCGACATTTGTGGTGCTTGGCAAGTTTTTACATCCATTTTTCTTCAACCTATTTAATACAAAAAAAGCAAATAGTACAGCCATTTTGAATAAACCAGGCAAAAAATTAATTTAAAACAATTGTTCTAAAACGATTCTCTCCCAACAAATCCCTGTCGCGTACTGCCGACAATATTGTAGAATCATTTCTCAGTCACGACACAAGATATTCGGCAAGTTCATTTCTACACCTTGGCAGCGGCGAAACTTTCATATGTTACAGTTACAATTATTGTTACTTAGTTATATGCTCTACTGTACTATATTTGCCCTGTTTCAAAATACACAACAGGCGTTGCATTTTTTGGGTGTATGCTATTAAATTCACTCAACATCAGACGCAATCGACCACTCGAGAGTCGAGACGTGGCAATCGACCAGTCCATTGCGATCGACGTGTTGGTGACCCAAGATTTATAGCAATAAGAATAGAAAAGGACAAGAATGATTGATTTCTCATATCCTTTACAATTCAAGCTAACAAATATACCCGTTCTTCGTTTTCTAGTAATTAGGATCTAGTCTGCCGATTATTACCAGACATTTCCTCTTTCATTGTATTCACAACACTGGAAAATGATGCAAAGGTTTCATCGCTGGAATGAAAAATCAATTTGTAATATTTATACACTTTGGAATATGAGTGCTTTCATCTCATGATTAGTGGCCGTGCGCAATTTTTTTTCGCCCGTGTTTAAAAATACAAAATGTAATATTCAATGAGGCCATTGCCTTTTTTTCTAGCATATTGATAACGAATTCAGCTAGATTCCGGTTACAGACTTGTCGGTATTAAAAAGTGTTACGATTCATCTATGAACAATGTTTACAATTGTTGTTTTGGTTATCGCATTATATGCTCTGGCAACTGATGGTGAGAAAAATCAATTATATATATATATTGTATGTGAAACTTATCTCTCATTGTTTATAATCACAATATTATTTTTGGCCAAAAGTTGGCAATTTTAGTCAGTAGATGTGTTGAGAGCAAGTCCTGAGCTGTTTCTTCGCATAAAGTAATGGATGTAAATTATTCTCAGCACTGTTTGTCATTGGGATGGCAAAAAAATCTAATCAGAAAGCGCAATATTAACTTCCCATTCTATTATGAGTTCTAAAAAAATTGACATTACCGATCCAGTACGTATTTATTCACACACTAATCCATAAAAATATGGTCTCGGTTTTTTATGTGAGATTGCTTCCACAAGTCTGCTTAAAGGATGGTCTTGAATTTTCTGAGACTATACAGTTCTATATATATATATATTTACAGCTTTGCAATCAGCAGGATGCGAAAAGAGATTTTGGGGAAGGTGTTTCCACTTTCGAATGACCCGCAAATAGTGATATCGGAGATGTGTATGCTGTAGGACGTAGGTGGACCTATTGATTTTCAACCGGATTCCCTGATTTGTGCTGCTGCAATACACGCTGCTGCAGCTCCAGGTGATACTGATAAGTTTGCCGGGCCATAAATCAGCTGTATATGTAGAAAGTCAAAAACAACAGAAAAATGTCAATTCTACAATATTTCTTCTTCGTTATGTGTACGTTCCGGGTATATCATTTATCAGCCCAGCTCTCAATTCATATCACCACGTACAAGCAAAATTAAATAATTCATTCAAATGAATTAGTTGAGCTATGCCTTATGTGATGTATTTATTAACTACTCTACTCATGCAATTTAGTTAACACGTTTTGTCCTCGGCCGGAGTCTCCAGCCAGTCGATGGCTTGAGCTAGTCAATAATGGTTGTTGTTGCAACGTCTATACTTGTGTATTTCTTACGAACATAAGGGGCTTAACAACACATAACCAAATATGGTTATTACAATGGCTGATTGTACAACGCCACTACTTTATTGAAAAAAAAATTGAATAACCAATATATATAGCTGAAATGTTGTGACTCACCTCCCACTCTGCATACTACAATTCCGTAAGCTATTATATGGGGTTTCATAATTATAAAATCTTTACATGCAAGTAGCTGCTACCATCTACAGTAATAATATTATTAAAATTAGGATTATTAAAATAAAGATGACTTTTTTGCACAGCACAGAAAAATATTTAGGCACCATTCACCTTTGTTTGATAACAGCGAATATTATGAAAAACTTAAAAAAAATCGATTACGAAAGAATCATGTTATTGTTTATATCTAAAACAATTGATTTTTGTTAAAATGGAGATTTTGCGTTATGCACGCGGGCAACATAATGTCCAGCCCTCTCCAATGTTTATCTCTAATATATTACTTTTTAATTCTGTTCAGATTGGTGTCATGCAAGGAATAAACAATTTTCGGACCTCCTGAAGTATGCGTACCAAGATGGCGCACATCTTGAACTCAGTTCGATACACATACCCGACTAACTGCAGCCCGAACTTGGTTGATATCGTGGTAGACGAAATCTACAAGGACGGAACATCAATATGCCTTGCAGCTATTCATGATGGACAGATAACTGGTGAGTCTCATCTTGTTTTTAAACATTATTAAAATTGCAGATATCGATTTTACGAAGTGTGAATATGAAAAAAATAATAACCGAAATCGTTCGAGTAATTTACTCATGAAAGATATAATGAATAATGAAATATAAGGCACCAAGTAATCCAGTGACAACGTTCATACTCAATACATAGAACCCGTTTGATAGCTCACAAATTTATCCTACAAAATCATTTCTAATTCATGAACGAAATATGCATATGTTTCATTCCAGCTGCTGACGGAGGGGACGTAATTGTGAATAAACGCCTAGGCCAGTCGGGATTTAGTGGAAGCACACGTAATGGTGTCACCAGTATTAGTGGAGGATCAGGCAATGGTTTCGATTTTTCTGGTAAGTAACAGCAAACGTATGTCTGCGTGGTGCATCATCAACATATTTCTCTTTTCTATTTTGGTCAAATTTTCTTTCTTAACTGTTCTGTGAATTTGATTATCAAAAGAGGTGTTAACACAGTAGATGGGATAACTGCATTTTCAACAGAACACACAAATCCTAATAAGGAGTAATATTGCGATTGTATATATTCGATTGTTTTAATACTTGAAGAGTTCGTACTACTGATGTTACATATTAGTAACAGTTGCTCTTTATACGTGTAGACTGCATCAACGGATCTCCTACAAGTTCTCCGTCGACAGGTTGTTCTTGCACTGCGACTTGGTTCGGAGATGCGTGTAATATAAGTGAGTATACTGATTGCTAAGTTTGAATTATGAATGACATGCGCATGTGAAAAACATATTTGCTCAAATATGTCATCGAGCCTATAGAAAAATATCAGATTCAATGAAGCTCTTTTAGGAATGAAATATAATATATATATATAGTCTGTCCAATAAAAATATAGTGCAATGTTTATTATATCAACTTGGTGGAAGATTGGGTTGATGTAATTTATCTGTTCTATCCATTGTTAGACTCGAATCATCAAACAAAACAAAGCTACGATAAACGACAAAAACAATTAGAGTTATTTCAAAAAGTTTACAAGAAAATGATTATTTTGCAAATCAGTCATGTTAACTTTAGAATAACGTAACTTTCAAATGAAGGTATTTTGTTGCACAGTGTGTGTTGAAGGAAGTTACAATGCATCGAATAATCCAGCTTGTATCTGCAATTCTGGATGGGTTGGACCTTTGTGCAATTTTCGTAGGTTTTATATTTTACTTAAAATAATACTTTTTTCTAATTAGCAGTAGATATATATTCAACGATATAAATACATTTCAAACTGTTTTCATGATATTTATGGGCACCAATTCAAAGTTCATAAGTTTTAATTTAGACTACATATACTCGTCGTATTTGTCTATTACTGTGTGGTTAATAAAGGACTCTATTAATGACCCGGATGTATTTGATGCTGCATATTTAAAAAAATATTTAGTATATTAATCGTAAACGGCGGAGCTTCTAGGTTTTTCTCGTGGCATCCTGGGGCTCCGTATGGAACGCTTTGAGAACTTATGTATTACTAAATCATGCTTGTTCTCACATTCAAATAGGAAAAAAATGATAACGGAAGGTCGTTTTGTGCACCTGCCGAATTGTATTGCGAAATCACTTCGACATATTATCATAAGTAACATAATATTGATTACACGACGAGGACAAACCGCAGTTGTACACCAGTACGGAACCTGAGCTGCGGTCTGGAATGTTCCCTGCACCACTGTTGCACGGTGCTTCACACAATGGCAGGTCCGATTGCAGGACCAGTACCGTTTCCACCATCAAAGTTCACGTCTTGCTCTGTAACTGGTAACGGTAGCATTTTTCTTCACCAACCTGAACTCATAGTTTCAATTTTTTATGTGGCTGTTTAGGTATTTTAGGAAATAATGGAGGTTTCTCGACCTTTGATCCCCGGAAATCCTTCCTATACTTGACCGTTGCGAAATTTCAGGTACAATCGGGTTCACCTATTAATCCAGAGCAGGGGTTCCCAAACTTTTTCAGCTTGCGGCACGCTAACAACAAGATTAAAAGGTCGCGGTACTATTATTACAAAATTAGCGGTAAATTAGGAACTCGAGGAAATATTTCATGTGAAAAATTATGAAAGCAGTATTACTTTAAGAGTCTCTTCAAATTCTTAACTGCTGACAGTTTTAAAATGATTGTTTAGTAAAAGTCTAGCGACTTTGCTTTAGCAAACCTGCGTTGTTGGGTTGGTGTCGAAAACATAGAACGCCGCGTTTATATATTAGAGAAGTGTTGCATATTACATCACCTATCCGTGGACTTGAAATAATAAATCTTTATACAGAGTGACCCAAAACCCATACAGTATGTTCAAAATGGACTGGGTTCTGTTTATTGGGTCACCCTGTAGATGTGCATTACGGAACTTCACCCATTACTAATTGCAATGTAATAAAGGTCATGTTGCAGTGTTGTTTATTGTGAAAAAATATCGGGAATTTTGTGAAAATTCGCGTCACACTTTCAAGACCCCACACTAGTGGGACCTCCTGAAGCAGTAGTTCTTAAACTGGGGGCGCGCTCCACTAGGGGGGCGCGAGAGGTCACAAGTGGAATCGGAAATTTACATGTAACGGCTCCTGAAACGGTCTCCGCGTTCGTTAAAAATACTGGCTTTTTCGTGGTATAATAAATTTTTCTGTCTCGTAATAACTACAAGAATTCGAAATGTCTCTCTATTTTAATTCATTTGTGTTCAAGGTAACTCGCGGTTGCGGCGACTCGTGTCAAAATAAACTCATTACCGATCTAAAATACCACGCCAATCCGCGGACATATCAAAGTGTGATCAACTGCCCGATTATATTTAGTTTTGATATATATTGCACTCATGCGAATTCGTTATCTTCATTAGAAAGATCTGGTATGATATCCCAGAAAGCATATTTAATTCAGTACAATTAAAATACATATTCATCGACTCGAAATCCCTGTGGTACGGATCCTGAGTCAGTCCTCGAGATTAAGCCAGTCGTTATGAGAGCCGACTTTGTCAACGGATATGTAATGGTTTTCGCGTTGAATGAAATATTCAATCCATGATCAATATACTTATTTAAAATGGTTGCGTTATTCGTTTAATTGTGATAAATTAAATCTGCAATTGCGTCGATAAAAAAGCACCACCACTCCAAAATACCACGGTAATCCACAACCATGAAAATGTGTGGCAAAGTGCCCGATTACATTTTTGTTTTGATTTGTATTCTTGCCAATTTCACCATTATGAGCTGCCCCTGCAACTCTTACTCCGCTCTATCGCAATGCTCGATTAATTATAACACCGTTACAGAAATTCCGATAGTCTGCGATAAAATCCCACGGAGTGAAATTTATTTCAAGTCAGTAGTTTTAGAACACTACTGGTGTGCGCAGGCACAAGAAATTTTTAAGATTTGTAATGTCTAAGAAAGTGTTTTTAATCTGTCGCGGTCCACCCCAAAACAAAACTCATGGTGTTTTCCGTTTTGTTTTTAGTATTTTATAATCTCGCTTTTACAATGAAGAAATATTTGGTTGCAGATTCACTATTTTATTCTATCTTCAGCATCTCGTCGCTGATGATTATATAATAAAAACTAACTCGTTTTCCTCAGAGGTGTCATGGTTCCATTCGAGAACAAAAAAAGTTAAGTAGAATAAACACCGAAATCAAGATTTTTACGGCCTAAATAGCACGCCACGCTTACGAAAACAATCGAGATTTAAACAAAATGCAATCGCAAACGCCTTGGCGACTTTATTTATCAGCGGTCAAGGGCCGGGGAAACGTCCACATGCATAATTTCTATTAAAAAATGAACTGCTTTTAAATTTACATAAATTCATTTGTACTTCTCTATTTTTTTTTGAAACGTTAGGCAAGCCAAGAAGTCTGTAATTGTTGCTTATTTTTAACACACAGCAAATAATTTTGGCATCGCTCAATAGTGATGAAGTAAACAATTGATTGAAATTTTACGTGTCTTATTTAAACGTTTAAGCAGAAAATACATTAAAGCATAGGTTTATTGCGTGTTTAGTTTTACTTACAAATTAGTTTGCGTTTACCAGGTATTGCAAAAACGGGAATGTATGATGACCAACCATTATTTGGCTTTATACATACGACAGTGAATGGCGAAGTTGTACTCCGAAGCGTTTTATACCTAAACAATCCGAGCAATGACTCTAGGAGACCAACACTCTTATAGCACCATCTTAATATATAGCAACCTGCCCATCACAAAAGCATTTTTTTAAAGCAAAAAGAGCGCGAAGTTTGTAAAATTTTTCAAGGGAGGGAGGGCTCAAAAAGTTTAAGAACCACTGTCCTGAAGTATGCGCATCGAGATGGCGCACAACCTGAACTCAGGTTGTGTACCAGGTTAGGATTCAGGTTATGTGACATCTTGGTGCACAAACTTCAGGAGTACCCATTAGTGTGCCGCAGCACACAGTTTGGGAAACCCTGATCCAGAGGGGAAAGAAAGCCAATAACACATACTAAACATATGGCGAACCACAGCCTCTCGTCCGGTTACTAATTCGGACTAATTCATGCCGGGTACGGGAATAGGGAGCCAGTTACTTGTTTCGAACGCATGGTCTTGATGATGGAGAAGCCGTAACCGTTTCCACAGGATTTGAACCTGTGAAGCCAGGTAGGGCAGGGCTGGGCAATTATTTTTGCTCGAGGGCCACATTGCAAATCAAAATGCAGTGGCGGGCCGGACTAATTTGAGTCAACCCACATTGCGTTTTTTATTGTATTTTATTACACAATTGAATGAAACAAAATCTAATACAATTGTTATTTTTAATGAGACGTGTGTATGCTCTGCTGCGCCTTAACAAGTCCTTGAATGTCGGGTTCAATGGCAGACGTAGATATTCTCAGCAAATCAGAAAGATGTTCATCGGCGAGAGACGACCGAAATTTCGATTTGGTAAAATTCATTACTGAGAAGGTTTGCTCGCAAATATAAGTGGATCCGAAAAGAACTAGCATCTTTTGAGCATGTCTCCTTATGTTGAGAAAACTTTTTTTATTTAGAGAGGAATAAAAATCCAGAATTTCAGATGATTTAAATTTTTCCTGAAGTAAAGTGTCACACTGCAAATCAATAAGCTCGAGTTGTGCATCAGATGGTATGTTTTCCACGTTACTGGTGAAAGGAGAAGAGACCATACTCATTTTATTTTCAATTAATCGGAAATCTTCAAATCGTCTTAAAAATTCAGCATGCAGTGCATCTAGCATTGTAGAGTACTATGCCATGGTCTAATCTAAAATACACAAAGCTACCAAAACGCTTATTTCTATTACATTAATGAAATTTGCCCTCAAACTATATTTTATATGTAAATAAAAAATGTAAGTGTCTTAATTTAGAAATCTGCTCGCGGGCCAGATGAAACGTTGCCGCGGGCCGGATGCGGCCCGCGGGCCGGAGCTTGCCCAGGCCTGAGGTAGGGTAATCGGGGGTGCAGTTGCGAGCATATTCCTACTGCTAAGAATGCTACTAAATCCCCCCCAAATAAATATAACACAACGCTGCTCCCGGGAATGTCCAGCATACAATCAGTGCTTCATACCCTTCCCAAAAAGATTCGAATAAATAAACAAATAGTTTATTTCGGACAACAAGATATAATAATTATTAACACTGTGATAATTGCATCAGAAATGATTGACAAAAATTTAAAACTGCACAGGTCCAGCATTGCGCATAAATTAAATGACTAATATTGAAATTGCATCGAAGATTAGTTTTGGAACTGGTAAAAAGAAACATGAATTTTACCTCGTTGCAAAAAGGTTTCAAGAACTATGTTAAACTGCTCTTTATCCTTAGGAACCAACTTTTGTCATCCCAAATTATTTCATATAAAAAAAAAATTTGTACCCCATGTAAATTCCACATCTACCGAATACAATTATATCTTAAAACATTTTGATATATCACGGTTATTATTAATTTTTTATTGCAGAATTAATTAAAACTGTCCCTTTGACCTTCTGATGAATGCATACAAAATGTGGATGATACATTATTTTGTCTGAGAAAGATATGATCTTTGTGAAAAGTAAGAAAGATTCAGTAAATATCAGTACTTCCCATAATATCTTTTGTTTTATCTATTGATATATACAAGCAAAAATATTTCGTTCGTTCAACCTGAAATAACCACAAGCAACGTCTATATAAAGCAAGGTTTTATACATAACACTCTTGCGTGATGATGCATCAAACATCCTATTGAAGAATTCAAAAATATCAATAAAATAATGTCCAACGGCACCAACACAAACAGTGGCCGTCTGAGCATACTCGTGACAATTGAAGATCGCTCACTAGAGATGTACCGATAACGCTTTTTTCGTTGATACCGATCCGATACCGCAAAAACACAGATACCGATACAACAATATTTCAAATTGCCGATATCAAAGATACCAAAAATTTGTAATCATCATCAATGTATGTACAATGTTATTGGTGTCAACTTGAAGAACAGATATCTAAGAACATGATAAATCGATATTTAGATGCACCACTTAAATTAATTGAATCGCATTGAAAGTTAGGCCTCGATATTTCTATTAAATAAAAATTGTAGGTTCAGCATGAATTTTGTTGTGCAAAGGCGCTGGGTAGGTAGCGAAAATAGTTCAAAAGCATGTAGGAATCAGAGGCATTCGTTCTTAATGAAGAGTAATTAGTGTACAAACTTAAAAGTTAGAGACAACATCATAATTTGTATTTTGCACAACGAGGAAAATCCCCTGTGGCCAACGGTAGTTTTTGAATGCTTTATGATGCCTATATTCAATTAAATCCGAGTAAACTATAAATAAACCTTAGTTATAAGTTACCGGTAGTATATTTGATACAAAATGGAATTTATAAACATAAGAAGTTAAGTTTAAAACGCCATGATGTCTATAGATACTAAATAACTGTTTCTAGTCACGATATTGGGACGAGTACATATGCTGATTTCAGTAACTGAAATTCAGTTAACAACATTCTTCGTGTACCAACTTTTCCTTCAAAACATTCTGGATCAGATCAGAGAGCCGAATATACTGGCTATATCAGTCAAATCTTAACCAATACTGATATTTAAAAAATGGACGACACCAGTACATCTCTATTGCTAACACGCCGTGATAATGTCTCAAAAATGGGCCATGGTTTTCCACACGAGTGACCATACCTTCACAGTTTACAATAGGAAAATTCAAATAATAGTATGATTTATATCATACAGACATATTAACTTCATACCCGAATGAATTCAGAAAAAGAAAGCACTTAAAATAGATAATTCAGACAATAATACCCACAAATTACAGTAAAGTAAATTCTACACATATAACAATCCCACTTTGTTGATTAATTTGTCATACTCGCTGCTCTTTTGTTAATACATAGTTCACGTAGTAGCAAGAAAGTGATAAAATATATTAGAAATTGTCCAATCTACCATTGTTCTGAATATTCACAAAACTCACATAACATTATTATGATGATTGCTCCAGATTATTGAACATCAGAGGAATAGGAATGTCATCCATATTTGGCATTAGAAGAACTTTCTGCAGAATAACAAAATACAATTCATTTGCTAATATTACATGCATCCTAAGTCAGTATAAGTTACAGAATACCATAAATCAAATTTCAATCCTAATTGGACATAAAACAAATTCATGATGATAACATGTAAATAAAATTTAAAAATTGAAAATTTTTCAAGTATAAAAGTAATTCTTTTTTTGAGAATTATTTTATAATACCGAACCAGAAAAGTGCCAAAAACTTGACAACACATAACCAGCAAAAAACTCTCCTTAAAAGCTGTTTATTTTGAGTCATATCATTCAACCTACAACAGGCGACAATAAAACAAAATCAAAATCTTTTACTCACATTAAATTCTTGTACTAATTTTTTCTCTATCCAATCTGTTATAGCAGAAGTTTTAACTGCTCTTTCACCTAGTTTAGGATGAGCTTTCAATACCATATGTGGGTGATCTTTAAACCCATACCTGCGAGTAACAGAAAAGAAATATAATGCAATAACACCATAGTTGAATATACAATCATTGGTGCTCCAGAAGTATATGTACCAAGATGGAGATAACTAATTTTGTTCGCCTATGTATGTATGTATGTTTATTAGTCTCGTAGTAGTAAGCAATATAAAAAATTGACAATATTAATATTGGAGACGGGACGCATGCACAAGAACGTACTGGCCTAAAACACAAATGTGCGACATGCACCCCTTTTGACAAGTACAGAACAAAAAATGTTAGATTAAATGCATATGATATGGTCCCTTATACAGACAATTGTGTAAGGTGGGGCAATGGGTTGGTGTGGCGAAAGTGGTAAGGGAGGAGTACATAGAACTGTTTATACAAGGGAGTTTATAAGACAAGACAATATATATAAATAGGGACAACACAATACACCAAATACATATATACATAATGATAAAATAAAAATTTTAGGCGTAGATACAGCACCCTTGAGTGGTGGGACCATATATGATATATCGGTAATATGAATGGGCAAAATATAGGAGGTACATGTGCAGTGCCTATACGGTCGCGCCACTCAAGGGTGATAAATATAGTCTTTGATAGAGTATACCGTAGATATTTAGGAAAAAATGCGAGCCATGCAGATTTGGTGAAATGCTCTAGTGTTGCTATCAAATTCCTAGGTATTATTGTTCTATTTAAAGGTTAAAGCCGAACGTGGTGAGAATTACAGAAAAAAATAAACTTGATGAAAAGCATTTCAACAAAACCCAACATGATTGCACAATCTCAAAAAGGTGAAAAAGTGTATTACATATTAATTGGAAATCCATACATTTAATATTTGCATCTTAGTTGAAATTATATTCACAATATTTTCAAAACTGTTGACAATTTTGTTAAATGTCATATGAAAAAACTGTTTTCACGCCAATATAACGGTAGTACTGTTCTATTCCATATTGTCTTCCTGTTTAAATAGATATGATTTTTATAAAGTATTCAGAAATCTTACCAGATACGATCAGATGGCGGAGGTGGAATGTTGACACAAATTGTGCCTTGACATTGATGGAGTTCAGCCATCAGAATCAAAGGAGTATTTGACACAGTTTCCAGTTTCTTCTTGATGTAACTATTCTCTGTTGCTTTTTGAAAATATTTCGATTTGGTGATGCTATCCACAATTCGTACCTGTATGCACGAAAGTGACATCAAAGAATTTCCCTAGATACCTGGGATACTCGATATATCAATTATCTTCCTAGTGAGTAAGTACCAAATGAAGTCGCACTTCGCACTATGGTACTGTACTCTCTACAATGCAATGACTTGGGGAAGAAAACATCGTGATACCTGATATCAACCTAACTTGCGAGAAAAATCAAGAGAGGTAAAAATTTATATCTGTCCGCCTATAGTATCAGCTATTGATAAAATTCTAAGAATCTTGTTTGCTAAAGTCATAAGTTGCAAGAGCAATTCAATTCAAAATGCAATACAGAATCCAGACATATGTGGTCAGTAAATATATAAAAATGTCTGCAGCAGCAACTAATGAAATATTCACCCATCGCTTCTCCTGTTGTGGGGTTGAACTTGTGCTGGGCTGAGGAGATTTCGATTTCTGGTGTTTATCCTTGCTTTGAAAAAGCGGAGTATCACCTGGTAGCAAGTTTTGCAGAGTTGAAGATGCCAACGGACTGTGAACAATTTAATACCACTATTTGAGGAGCAATTTTTAAGCATTACAATATCAAATTTTATAAAAATTCTTTCAATTCAGAAGTAAAACTTAGAAAGTAAAAATTCGGTCGATTCGCAATTCACATTTTTCATTTTTGCTGGAATTAAAAGCAACTGATTCAATGCTAATCAAAGGGCCATAGCTGTACATATCTAATTATGCCTTCTAAAAAAAACTATCAAGTATAGAAATACATATGAACTATAGTCGGGGCTGCCATAATGTCCTTATTTCTGAGATACGTCATTATTTAAAAGATCTTTGTCTAAGAAAATATTTTTGTCCTCATTTCCAAGAATTGACCTTATTTTGGCATGTTTCCTTATTTTTGTTTTATTTCAGGGGTGGAGGTCCCCATACTGGGCACTTGGATTGGTCAATTCGAATGACTGATTTGCTAGAAATGATAATAGAACCTCATGGATTGCTAGGCGCATTCATGTTGTAATAACATAAACTTAATGGCCATAGTTACGAAACAACGGTCTACCGGCAAAGATCAGTTTGTGTAGCCTCACTGGAATCAAAATACAACTTAAAAGTTAGTTGGAACGAATAGTTTCTAAGAATGAAGAACTGCTGGAACAAATCCTTTATAGTGCAAAGTATGATTAGACACGGGTTACACTGGCATGAATACATTTTGTTTATTACATTTCGTTCTTTGTGATCTTATTATTATGTTTCCCTGATGTCTTTATTTGTGGGTTCATATCGATGGCAGCCCTGAGTATAGTATATGCATATTATTTTTCATTAAAATTAAAACAATGAATTCAAGATATAATAGGATAGTTTTAATAAGGCAATCAAATTTTTCATAATTTGTATAAAACTGTATAACATGACTGAAGCCTAAATTAATAGGAAATATTTCTCAATGTCACTATCAGATATCTGTGGAAGATCCACAGAAATATATTTTATTGAATCGACCAAAAGTATAAAATATACCTTGTAAACATTGATTCATCATCATCAGAAGATTCTGCACTGTCCTCTTCCTCACTGTTTGTAATTGCGGATTTTTCTTCATGTCTGAAAAGAAATTTATCATTAAAATCATTCATATAATACTCTTTCATGACAATATACATTTGTAACAGAGCCATATGAACCCTATTATACATGAGTCGCTGGATAAAGCATGCGTTCATCAAAATAGTAAACACTGAAATGAATTCTCGAAACCTTTTCTGTAATCAATCTTGTTCCAAACAGCGTCGTATATATAATTAGAAACTCAATTCTTGATAGTAAGTAATTACTTTAGTGACTTTGCTCAAACAAATCTTGACATGATCCCCATCAGTGATGCAGCCAGGAGAACCCCCCCCCCCCATTTGAAATTTTTGGAAAACTGAACAAGTCGCCAATATTGTGTGCAATTGCATTTTGCTGAAATCGCCGATTGTTTTAGTCAGCGTGACGTGTTATTTAGGCCGTAACGCCTTTACATTGGTGTTTAAATTTTCATTATACGCTGGAAAAGGCGACTCTTTTAACGAGCTCGTAATCGCAGTGACTGTTTCAGACCGGAATGGAAATAGGAATTTTCTATTTTATAACCGCCCCCTTTTGAAAATCCTGGCTGTGCGCCTGATCCCCATCCACCCAGATGTGCTAATTGTATCAACTGTAATGTCATTACACCCATACAACTTGTAAATAAATTCTGATTATCTTACATGATTTTACCCAATTTCCCCGGAATCTTAGTACAAATATATACAGAATAAAAAGCAGAAAAAAATGTATCAATTTACCCTTTTTTATCAACAGATATTGCTGAATCTTTTTTTCCTAGTTTTGTCAATACCATTTTCGTCTCGAGTGTCATTTGGACTGCTCCATTGTATGTTATATCCATATCCAACCAAATTCCCTATAAAAATAAAGCTTGATAACAAAAATTTTCTTATGATCATTAAATAATAATAATAAGAACTACATGTGTTAAAAAACTGAAAATAGCAGGAGAAGAATTACAAAATCACAACTCTCTAACCTGTGAATCTAATCTTGGAAGGGATATTTTATGAGCGAGAGGTATGGTTGTACCGAGATCCATTTCTGTGAGCTTGAGTCCTTCCATGAAATAAGGCAACTAAAAGCAATTTATAAAATTAATGAGACTATGAGGAATGTGCATTCATTTCACAACATGCAATGCTGACGCAATACAGATAATGAATGAAGCAACTTTTATGATGTCATAGTCTTGAAATTTAAAGAGTCACATCATTCAGCTTTGACTTAAGCAAAATTTAAACATATCTCAACCTGATACTTCACAGGTATTAAAAAATTCACAAAGTATAGCAGTATCGATACAATTCTACACACGAGCATCTTTTTTTCACAAATCACCATTTAAATTTTCACCTTAATCGAATAAATTTGATAATCGAAGTGCTGCCTTTTACTATGGAAACATTTTAGTGTTCCAATGAAGTTTTTTATGGTCGCTTCACGTTTCAGTTATCAAATTTTGTAAATAGCAAAATTCATGATTGTCCTTTTTACACAATGAATTAGGAAGCCAAATTCAAATAAAGATAATCAGACCACAAAGAGATTGATTAAACAAGCCCAACAAAACACAGTCAACCGCAAAATCATAAATAAACATTACTGGGGTTTTCCCATGGTCAACTGAGTATAAAAGATTTTTTTTTTCTCCATTCGCCACAATTCAAGAAATATCAACCTCATATGATTGGATAAACACAGCTTTACAGTGATATAATATAACTCTGCTTATCAGAAAAATAATTACCGGTAAATTAGCCAAACACGAACCATATGTGAAAATAAATATTTACACATGCAACATATTTTTCAGCCACCCTAATTTAATAATACCATACTATTAAATTTACGCAATGTATAAAAAAAATGCAGTCTTTGCAATGAGATCTTGGAACAATGGCATACCCGAATTTTTTCAAGTTTCTTCTGGATTTTAGTAGAAAGCCAATTTGCCCATTTTGGCCTCCGTAAAAAGTCAAACATTACTCTTCCAACAACAACATTGAACCATGCAACTTCCAATCCAGGCTCGCCAGCACGATGTGATGGTATCTGTGTGACATAGAAAAACAAAACAAATTTCAAATCTGAAAGCTTAAGCATGCTTTTTCTTTCTACCCATAAATGAATTTTAAAAGAGGAGTTTGTCTTTCTTGATATTCACATTGGAGCTTGAGTACCGTAGATTTGATACGAAGATGAACGAAGTTGACATTAAATGAATAGATGACTGGATTTTTGTTCATGAAAGATGTTCTTCATTATAAAAGAAGTACCCCATGTATTAATTAATTGAGTATTTCAATTCAAATGAAATTCATATTGTCCCTATACATGTTACATGCACCTGTAACACCATAAGGGGTTTGTCATAAAGTTAAGGGCAATTCATCAGCATTCCTGTCATCCTAGATAAACATGGAAGTCGCTATCCTAGATGGTAGAGGAATTTGAAATTGATTCTAAATTGGGTTATTCAGCTAAGCAATAATTGGTAGTGATTCTTTCCTGTTAATGGAGGCTGAAGAAAAACATTCAAATAAATTGAAACATTCTCACTAACCGTTATGTGTCTAGGTTGTGACAAAATAACTTCAGGAAGCGCATCATGACTGCTTGAGGAAACAAAATAATTAACGCCCCTTGACTGATCTATATTTACAGTACCGTCATGCTTTGTACGTGGCGACGAACCTGAAATTATACATTTGTCGTTAATCAAATAAAAGTCGAATAGACGATTTTGCAATAAAATCGTGAACAATCTATTTTTACCGAAAACTGATTCTGAATTTTTCATTGTCAAATTTTCCTAATCAGCAATCTTGGTACTTCAATTATTTTTCACATTTATTAGGTCCTTATAGGAGATAAATTTGCGATGACGTAGTCATTGAAGAAATTGTAAATCGTAACCGTTAACCATCTAAGATTGGTTAACCAATTAACCATTTTCAGCCCTACTGATAACTATTTAATTTCCGCACAAAATTCGGTACTCCCGTAGTGTGTGTACCAGATTCTGAAGAATTAGGCCATTCTTTTATTCCGATTTTCCTTATTCTACTTCTATTACAAGTTCGAGGATTGTCTGTGTGTGTTAGCTAAGTTAATAAGCCATAGATTTCAGTCCCTTTACACAACTTGATGTAAAGTAGACAAACAAAATTAGTTCCCTCCATATTGGTACACACACTTCTGGAGCTCCCAAAATTGCATTAAAAATTCTATACAATTCCTTAGATATCATATGAAAACACTTGATATTCAAATAAATTTTTTGCGAAATCTACGATAACAAACTTTATAAATAAAAACTACAATATTTATGAACATTCAATTCAATTAAACAACATTATCTGTGCTCAAACACTTAACTACATAATAATCACCTGATCGCTCGGTAGTGTAAACTGTAGGATCAGGAAGCAATCGACACATTGATGTATAATAATCGTGATATGTTTTAAGAACATCGTTGACACCATGAAATGCATGGTCAGTGCTTGGTATATCAACCTCCTTTAAATATTCAAAATATATGAGATAAATATACATAATAAATTAAAAATGCAAACGTAGAGGTAGTAGTACCTCCAAAATTGAGTTTATTTTTATTGTTAGAAATTTAGGTACTCCCGAAGTAAGTGAACCAAGATGGCGGACACTGGAATGCAGCATGTGTAACAGGTTAGGTTTAGGCCATAATTTTATTCCAATTTTACCTATTTTAGTTATATTACGAGTTCAGGGATTAGCAAAGTGACTACCGTAGTATTCGTACATGAATTTATGGTCTAACCCTAACCTGATATACCAACTACGTTCCGGTGTCCGCCATCTTGGTTCACATACTTCGGGATTATCGACATTATTGCTAAGTGAGATATGGGTGTATATTACCAAACTACTCCTCTTGATTTCTAATACTTTTCAACGCTAGATAAAGTGATCTCGTAGAATTACTAAAGATTACTAAAAGCAATTTTGGGGCTGCTCCTATTGGATACATTTTATTATCAACTCAAATATCAAAATTTTCAAATAATATTTGACAATCAGTGTGTGATAACTGATAAGCCTGTTTATTCTTGTAAAATTATTTTTTGGGGCAAATAGTTGATTTAAATAGAATTGTAAATAGAATCCAATACTAACATCTGTTGCACTTTCCAACTTCGTAGGTGTGTTTGCCTTTGCCAGATGAATAGCTCTCTGAAACCTGGATTGCACAAAGAGATGAAATCAGAACAAAAATTTTGAACCAGGAAATTTTAGGTAAGTTACACATCACCTATTTTGAAAATAAAAATTGGCCTGAAGGAGCAAAATTACTTCCCAAAGAAATACTGATCAAGCCTTCCAAATATTATTCCCATTTGACAAAACATATCTGCTCTTCTTCATATCAGAGCAAGAACAAGAAAGCGAATGACAGTCTATGAAGATTTGATGAGACTGATATTGACAACAACTCAATTACTAATTGCAAAGTCGTATATTGGGATGTCGTTTCAGTCAGTATGTTAGGTAAAATGCAGTTGGTGAGACAAAAAAAACAAAATTAGGCAATTTTTATTACTGCTTAAAATTTACATGTATTAATAAATTCAGACAAGAGGAGGCATACTATGTTTGAAGGAGGCTACCAGTAAATCAATAAATCATACCACACCTATAAAACCATTCTTCTTTTTGTCTCTGAGTTCTTCCAAAAAGATAAATTTTTTCAATCAGATCATCATCAGATATAATATCAAAAGAATCTATAAAAAAAATAAAGTTGATATTTTTTGTTTATTTTTAAGTTGAAAACAGATGCTTTACAGTAAATTCATAAACAAATGTAACAAAAATAACCTTGATGGTCCTGCATTTGCCCCTTTTTATGAGTACTTTTGCTTCGATGGGGTTTGTTAGGAGGAAACTCTATGCATATTGGATATTTCTTGCTCCAAACTCGTTTCTTAACCAATCCATAAGGAACAAGGTAGACCTAGAACAAAGAAAATTATTTTAGACAAAAAGATTTTATAAGTCGCTTTGATTAATTTACCAAAGCAAAAATAATATCTGCACGAGCATATTCATATAAATTTAGCAATTAGGAGAAGAATAACAAAACACAAATTTCCCTACTAAAGGTTGGGAAAATATATGAAAATATAATTGCATTTACCATAATTCTTAAGGTTCACAATTTAGACAGCTTGAACTTAAAATAATGCCAAAAAAAAACGAAATTTTCTGGATACTATCTACAGCTGTGACATGGACAAACTACGGACCGCAGGCCAAATCGGGCTCGTTGGACAATTCAATCTGCCCGTCTGATGCTTACCCGATCCAACTAAAACCAAATTTCGATGTTTTAGTTAAAAATAGCTCAAGTAATTTGTTGAGATTGCGAATAAATTTAGTTTCGGCACGAGGCCTATTGTTTTCCTTTTTTGCTTTGGTAACACTGTAAATATTAGTCATAGAATATAACTTTTTATCTTACACTTACATTGCCCTCCACGGCCAGTCTAGGTGGGTAAAATTTTTGGCCCCTGGTCCAAAAACCATGCCCACCCCTGATCTACAGGCATGCATATATTAACAAACTCACCTTAGCTTTAGTTATATCCCAAATTTTATGATGAACAACATTTAATAACTGAATATTACCTTCCCCAAATGCTGCACGACGAGGAATATTTCTATAAGATATTTGAAAACAAATTTTAAAAATGTTATAAATAACAATGTATTAACAATTAAAATAAACTATTAAAAATACGATAAAAAATCAAATTTGAATAACATATAACTCCACTTACATCAGCTACATCACAATTGATAGAAAGGCCCAATGTGTGATTTCACTACGCACCTACTGGTATGCAAATATCAATTACTGATAAATTGAAATTTTTAGGATAGGATAGGATTTACATATTTATCCGAGAGGAGAGGAAAGGCAATAAGACGGCTTAACCATATTTCAAACCACAGCCTCTTGTCCATTTACCATGCAATGTCAGGTATATGATTAGTTAGTTATTTGTTTTTTGGGAAGCATGGACTTGATGGTGGAGGAAGCCTTAAGCGACTAGCGGTTACGTGGACTATCCTACGGCGACGAGGAGGCCAGCAATCTTCTCAGACATAACTATCCTCGCATGTGATTCGAACCTGCAAACCCACGCAAAGTAATCAAAGATAAAATTTGCCCTCATCTGGCGTAATGGCTTGGTCAGGTTAAATTTTTAGAAATTGCAAATGAACATCTGAAGCTTTCTGTAATACAAATGGTGGCCATGAAAAAACTGACAATGCAAATTTTCTACCATCTGGCGCAGCATAGTCTGATCAGACTCTGATTTAGAATGCGTTCAATTCTATCAGACACATTTGGATCTCACAGCATGCCATATGGCACTAAGTTGACAAACAATTTACGGTATTTATTTTTTAAATAATTTGTTTGGTTGTAATAAAGTGAATATCCATGTAAAACTAAACTGATGAACAGGTATAAAATCAAGGCATAAAAGACGAGATACCTGTTTGGTGTTTGCAAGCGCAAATCCTTCCCTTCCAAGGTAACAAAAACAGATCGAGTGGCATTGACATGATAACTATCAGGTTCATAAATTTCAATTTGGTTCATCCAGCCCTGAGTATAAATGAAGTGTATGATTGGTGGTCCATAAAATGGTAGCATCATTGTAAATTGCAAGGCCAGACAAATAATTCTGATATACTGAAGCATATTAGACTTAAACATATCATAAAATGTTCATCAGCGAGTACTATTTCACATAACAAAACATTTTTGTGTTATGTGCATACATTATTGTTCCGAGAAAGTTATTTAATAAGATCTTCACTAGCGTTGGATTGGATTTGGACAGATCATATATAAATGTCTTATTATGCATGGGATAACCAATGAACTTTCCAATGTTTCATTATATTTTGACACTGTTGTTTTTGATCATAGCTTTACCAAGACAGATTACAATAACATACTTAATTTGATTCATGAATTCATAGAAATTCAATTTTGGCTAGACATATTAAAATTAATATTGTTTGAAAGGAGAGTATGGAAAACTATCCAGGAGTCAACAATTAAATTTAGATTATTGCAGCATCTTGAGAGTTTCTTAAATTCTAAACAATCTATGAAGAAACCCATATATAACAAAATAAATACCGGTATATAAAATGTATTGCTAAAAATTAAACTGAAGCCAGTACCACACAATAGGACTAAAAATGGCGCTCCAAAAGTGTGTATCAATATGGAAGTGAATAATTTTGTTTGCCTACTTATTAAGTTGTGCAAAGGGATTGAAGCCTATGGGGTATATTCACTTGGCTAACACGGACAGTCCCCGAACTCGGAATAAAACTAAAATAAGGAAAATTGGAATAAAATTATGGCCTAACCCTAACGTGGTACACACACTACGGGAGTACCCTAAAAATAATAAAACAACGAGATAAGTTCAAAATCAAGCTTACCTTAAAAGCCTGATCTGGATTAAAGACAGACTTAGGAATACGATATGGTATTGGTTGACTGACATAGGGCTGCTTGATTTCCTTAAGTTGAGGTCTTTGAGGAGTTAATATACACAAAGCCAGTGTCGAACAAATTACACCAAAAATAAATGCTGAAATTGAAGCAAAGATAATGAGAATTATTAGCACTAAGAAACTGCTTCACATATTAAATAAGAATCTGCTTTCTATCATTTATAATCATAATCGACAGATGATTGTGACAGATCATGTGTGTTTTACACTTGAACCTGAGCCAACAATAGTATAGTTGAAAATAATCAGTCAAATAATTAACACTTACATGATATAACTATGTGCATCAAAAATGGCAGTGGCAGCACAAAATAAAGATACGCTAAATATGCGAGAAACGAAAGCAAATATATGGGCGTAGATGAAGTGGCAATTTTCACTGGAGAAAGTAGTTTCTGCTTCGGTGATGCGTTATCTGCTGTTTTCTCCATACTTGACGATTTCATCATGCCAGACTTGTCAAGCATTGGCTCCACGGCTCTATTGCAACAACAAAAATGAAATCAATACTTCGTGTGCAAAGTTGTATACTTGTAATTGCTTATCATAGCTGCAGACAAAAAAATCAAGCTCCATTTTTTTAAATTGAATTGTCATTCATTGTGATTTTACCATAAAACATATTCGGTTACTTATAATATACAAAATCAGGAGAAAAAAATTAGAAAAGTTGGATGAATAATATTGGAGCGGATACACATATATTTGTAAAAAACACAAAATTTACATTCCACTCACTGGTAATAAAGAAATAAAATAGTAAAAAAAGCTCACGATTCTTCTACGTCTTCAAATGAATTGCTATTAGAATTAATTGAAAGAGAATCTTCAGTTTTACTTTTCTTTCCTTCAGCAAGTAATGAAGAAAAGCTCATTGCAACTGTCGATGACCTGCGAAGAATGCTATTAGAAAATCGTTTCACAATAGATACTTCTCAATAGAAATAAAGTCATGAATTGTATTTGCTCAATCCTCAGCATGAGGCATAGGCTGCAGAAGAGGAAATATTATCATAACAGCAGCCTTGCTATCAATTTGGGTAATATTTGGCCATGTATGGTCAAAACCATACTCTAATTGGATCAGGTTCGACAAAGTACGTATAGAATTATATCAATGAGTATAAATTTCTTGACATTACGTCAAAAATTGCACAGAATTATATCAATGAGTATATATTACTTGACATCACATCAAAAATTGGACAAGCCGTAAAATCAAGCCAGAAGACGTTTACAAATATTGCAAAGACAATAGTATATTATTGCTCGTCAGTAAGCAGCATTTTCATATAATTCTGTTCTATTTCAGATGTTGAGATTTTTAGCCCAAAACTCATAGCCCACACAATATATAGATTACATCAGAATTTCCCTTTCTAAGAAGTCATGACTAATTCAATATTGTATTATTTTAAACCATCATAAAAATATCTTAAAAATCCAAACCTTTGTGGTTCAGCAATAGGTCTCATTAAATCTTTAGAAGTCTTATTATCTGCAAATAAAAAATGGACTTCATTCAGCAACTGCAAGGATTACCATATATCATAGCACTAAAAAGATTAGTATATAAATCCAATAATAAAATTAGGTTAGCATGTTACAAATTTAATGCTCTAGAACTCTTCTCTACAACAATTTAATTATGAATATTCCATGTTGTTTCAAATCAAATTTTACATCTTCAAATCAACAAAAAATCATGACTTTGTTACACCAAGTGTGAATTTTGCAGCATCAGAACTGCCCTAGTAGGATGAGATAATTCTGGTCAGAAGTTATTATATTCATAATGACGCTAAAATAGTTCAGAACTCAAATTTGTTTTGGGCTATCATAATATTTTTTAAATAAAAAATGTCTAGTGAAGTCAGAAGGTAAACTATATATGGATTGACTCAATAAAACCCACCAATCACATCGTAGTCCGATGCAGATCTCTTCCTCAATTCAGGCACAGTCTGAATAGTAGAATAAAAGATTAAGAGAGTTTTCATATTATTATAAACCAGATAAATGTGACATGAGTTAAAATATTGTAAACCTCAAATTCACGCAGGGTAACGCAGTAACGCAGGGTGTCATTTTTTACATAGACCAGCAATAAAGAAACCAACAAATATTATGTTACCATGGATTACTCAAATTTGATTGAATTTTTTTATTTATGATGTTCTACCTACTCAGCAAAAGATCTTGCCCTCAAGAAATTTACCGACCTTAGGAGAAAAGTTTAGAGAATCAGCATTCTTCCCCATCAAATGATAAGATGTACGAGAAACTGGAGTGGAATGTCCATCACCTTCATGTCCAACATCTGTTTCTACTGGCCTATTGGATGCATTTTCAATATGAGGTTTAGTGCCTGTACCAGTGTACTGTTGTATGTTTTTCTTTATATTGGAAAAAAGTTGAGTTCGTGCTTTTGGGTCAAAAATTACACTTGATATCATATCCTTGGTAGAGACTTCTGGAGTGTTCATAGCTTGGTCAGCCTTGTCACAATATCGTGAAATAGGAGTCTCACTCATATCATCAAAATCTTCTTCCTCATTATCAGATGTAGAAAGTACGAGAGGATGGGTCACACATTGTGTTGGTGCACTAAGAGATGGCGAAGCTTTCAATTGTTGAATCTCTTTTGATTCATTCAAATCTTCTGCAGCACCAACAGCTATATTAGGAATATCAGATAATTCCAATTTCTTTTCAATACTACTTGAATGAATTTTGTTTTTAAATGAGAATTCTCGATTAGGTGGTTTAAGCGGTCTGGGTGGAGCTTGCTTTTTACATTCAACATCTTCAGTAAAGCTATGTGGAGGAGAGGACGGAGAAGGGTCGCCAACTTCCATGAATTTTGAATAAGAAGGGCCTTGTGAGAGAGGATCTGAAGAAAGTTGCGATGCGAAAGCATCCATTGCATTGGAATTAATATCTACATCTGTCATGTGTGGATTGCTTGATATTTGGTGCAAGTTATACGGTGCTTTTGAATCATCCACTTCACTGATTAATGAACCAATATCATCATCATCAGACAAATTTTTGAAATGAAGAGAAATCGTCCCTCCCAAATTTTTTGCCCCTTTTGCTTTTCGTTTAGGTGGCATGACGGCAATTTATTTTCAATTAAGTCTCATCATTTTCCTAAAACGGTTATTATTTCAGGAAGTTTAGTTTACATCCCTATCGATATTTCAGTAATTAAAACTCTATTAATTAATGCCTGATTTTCAAGATGCAGAAATAGACAACCACACTTAATTAAACCAAAGTTCCCAAGTAACTCTAGCTAGTACAGTAGTAAATCTGTGGTAGCATTAGCATATAACTGCTGAACTATATAAAGTCAGAAAGTTACGAAATGATCTTTCCCTTAGGATTTGCATATTTACCCCAGGGAGAGGAAAGCCGATAAGACAGCTTGATCATATGGCTGTATGGCGGACCACGGCCTCTCGTCCGGCAGTCCGGTTACCAGTATTCAGATACGGTACGGTACCGGTATTGGAAAAATACCCACAAACAAACGGATGCCTACGGTAGCTTCTTTGTTTTAAATCACAGAAATATAATTATAGTATTGTGATACTGTGATAAGGCACAACTCATAAGGTCAGATTAGAAGTCGGCACTCTTTTTAAAGGCATTTCTTCAATAACTTATAAGTAATGGCGCTGTCAATTACGTTTTTTGTTAGTACCGTATCTATAACGATTAGGCCATTTCCACCCGCAGATTTAGGTCAGAATCATCATAAATCAAACCACCGCATTTACTGTCTTATGCCATCTCGCGGTCCGAAAGTCTGTAAAAAATGTTATCGTCCTGCCGTCCAAAGCGCATAGCAGACCAATAGCCTACATTCCAGTCTAGACCAGCGGTCCTAATTAAGAATAGGATAGGATTCACATATTTATCCAGGGGGAGAGGAAAATCGTTAAAACGGCTCAATCATATGGCGAACCACGGCCTCTAGACCCAAAGTGACTGTTATAGTCACTCATAAAAATTCTTATAAAAATATTAAATAATATATAAAAAATATTCTATTCTTAAAACTGCACACGTCTACAATGAAAGATAACTAGAAAATTACAAAAAATTCAAATTTCTGCTATGGCGATCACATTCCCCATAAGAGCTAATGTTAAAATTGTTTTGGGTAGGCCAGGGCTACTCAACTAATCATACCGAAGATCCGCATACAAAACTTCAAAATTATTTGGGTCCGGTGTTTCCACAAATTATATTTCGGCACTTTTTGCACTCGTCCCCCCCCCCTGTTCAAGAAAGTAAAAGCGTAGTATACAATCAATGGAAATCTTGCACTTGGGACTGTCTGGCGAGGTTTCTCATATTAGATACCGTCTTTAATATAGCCAGACGAATGTCACTGTCAATATCAAGACGATTTCTAGATTTTGTTTTGATGGTAACAAGATCAGAAGAACCACATAAATTGCGGTAAATTAAATTATCAGTGAAGAAGTTTTCTTGCTAAGTAGTGGGTAAGAATCCGATATGCCACTTCATAGCTGCATGCAAGAGCGGGGTTTACCTCCGACAGAAACCCAAACTTGACCAATGTTGATTTCTTGTCAATCTAACTCGCTTGGCAGCCAAGAAACCGATGTAAATGTCTTTCACAGAGAAATGATTTTTGTCATGGTTGGTTTGGAGGTAATAATTCATTGCTCATTACATACGAGCAATGCAGGCATTGAGCACACTCTCTGTCATTTGGATTTACTTTGATGAAGCCAAAGCCAACGTAACTATCGTTCCATTTTCGTATTTTGGGCATTAGGAATTTACAAATGGGTTTTTGCGTCTATAATACGATAGCGAAAGTTATCTCGCAGTCTAGTGAAGTGAAATTACCCGTCTACAAGTTACACGACAGCCTACCGGCAAACTATTTGATTGGAAGATTCCAAATTCCATTATGATTAAACAATTCACGCACAAAAAAAGTGAATACGACCGTAGTAGTATATATTTACGATATATACAACCTGTGATCGCAAATAACCTATTCAGGCAATGCGGTAAAAGAGAATTTTATTTTAATAAGAAAGTTTGCAAACGAAGTCGCTTTATGATCAATTCTTAGCCTTGTGTGGTGGCCCCCTTGAGTTGCTCCGTGGCCCACTTGGGGGCCATCGGCCCCCGATTGAGAATCACTGGACTAAGGTCTATTATCAGTCAATGTGGGTAATGGGTATGGGATTAGTTAGCCATTTATTTGTTTTCGGAAGCATTTTTGCATCAAATGTAAACTATGATTGAACCGATAATAATATTTCGAATTCTCGAAAATTTTTCACAGTATGAGCATTACAAATAAAATAAAACTCTTAACGCCAAGTTACTGTACAGCCGCCTACAGTTTTAATATCATCATTTCTGTATTATTACCACAGTGAACGATAACAGAGCCATGAATACATTTTACAAAAAGTACTTGTGTGTCAATATGCATGAATAAAGGTTCCATTATCTTTGCACCCAAGTACATTTGCACCAGTGATGAGTTGTAGTCGGAACGCTGGCTGTGACAAAAATTACATTTAATATCTTGGGAAGCGAGAATCCTCATCCATGTTCTTAAGGCCAACTACATCATTAGAAATAAAATAAAATATCATACGCGATATGAAGCCCAAGTCAAGTTTTGGAATCGATGGTATTCGATTCAAAATATTGAATTATGTTCCAGAACATATTATTGATATCCTGACATATATATTTAATCTTTCACTATCTAGTGAATTATTCATTGAAGGCTTCAAGACATCCAAAGTTCTTCCTCTCTACAAAAAGGGTAGTGTTTCAGATCTTGGAAACTATAGACCTATTAGTCTTTTACCATCATTTTCTAAGATTCTTGAAAAAATAATGTATAGTCGAATGTCAAACTACTTTGAAACTAACAATGTTTTCCACTCGCATCAATTTGGTTTCCGCAAGCATCACTCCACTGCTATGGCTGCTAATGTTTTGTTACACAAACTGACCAAGGCGTTTGAATGAAAACAACATGCAATTGGAAAATTTTTTGGTATCTCAAAAGATTTTGACACCATTGACCATTCCATCCTTTTAAGTAAGCTCTATCACTATGGAATTAGAGGCGTCCGATTCAATTGGATCAGGAACTACCTTCAAGACAGGAAGCAAATTGTGCAATATGACAACTCATTCTCTACAAATATTTGTGTCATGAAGCACGGAGTTCCACAAGGATCTTTACTTGGCCCATTATTTTTTCTAGCTTACATTAATGACATGTCCAGGTGTCTGAAATCCTCTGAGTCGATCATGTTTGCTGATGACACTGACTTGATTCTTCAGGGGAAAAACCTTGAAGATCTATTCACAGTTGCAAACCAAGAACTAACCAACATTCATAGCTGGATGTTAGTTAATAAATTATCTCTAAATTTGTATTAATCCATCCAAGCAAGAATAAAAGTGTGAGTTGTTCAAAAAAACTACTGCTCAATGGCAATGAAATTGAAAGAGTGAAAGAAATAAAATTTCGGAGTTATCTTTGATGTAAATCTGTCATGGAAATCACAAATAATGCATGTTATTGGTAAAACGAAAAGAAACCTAGCAGTTTCTGCCAAAGTATCCCAGTGTGTTGATCAATCAGCTCTACTAGCAATGTTTCAATCATTACTACTTAGCCATATTCGATATTGTTGTTCAGTCTGGCTTTATGGTAATAAACAACTCGTCTCAAAACTGCAGAGTATTTGTAATACATTTTTAAGACTAGTTTTTGGTAAAAGAAAACGTGAAAGTGTAGACCCTTACTTCAAATCACTAAATATACTTAAGGTTGAAGATATGATGAAATTTGAAATATTATCACTAGCTTACGACTTCCAGAATAATGCGCTGCCCAATTGCTTTAATGACATACTTGTCAAAAATACCTCCAATCGAAGAAGTAGTTCTGATTTATTCGTACCTTTCATGAGTAAATCTGTGAGTCAGCATTCCTTGTCCTTTACTGGATCCAAACTTTGGAATTCTCTTCCCTTAAATTTGAAGACGTTAAAGTCCAAAACTTTTTTCAAAAACAATTTAAGTCTCATTTAGTTTCCAAATATTAAAAATTACTACTGGTGGTATTCGATGACAAAAACTTGGGACACTCCACACTTGCACATTATTGTTTTAATGAAAATGTTGAACAGCTATAATAATATTGGTATATCTTGCCATGACTTGGCCAGACCTAGTCCAGCACCAAAGAAATGGTATTGTGACATGCATGAGTATATTTTTTTTAAATATATAGGTAGCTGACATACCCGGATGATATTTTCTTTAAATAACTGCACACATTCTATCACTTCACGCTCGTGTTTTTACCTTTTTCTAGCTGTTATGTCCTCATCATACACGCTTAGTCTTATGTTCGAGTGGTGGTATAAGGGTTGTAGATAGTATAATATAGTTCCTGCTAGGTTACTAGTTATTGCAACTAGGCGAGCAGTAGAGCTATGTTGGATTCACCCCTTCAGATTTTAATTTGCTGTGGGTCATTGTAATTGGATGTGGTTTTTATATCATTTATGTATGCATGCATTTTATGTTAACTAAGGCATGGTATTGGTGTTTGAGTTGACTTGTTGGCCAAAGTATAGATAGTAAAATTTTGTGTGTTTTTTGCATGGTTTGATAAATTTTTCTCTGTCCCAAGCAGAATGTCATCATAGATCATCTATCCATCGCTAAGAATGACAATACATCCCATTTAAAAAACAATTATTTTTTGCCTGTAATAAATAGTTCAGCGCGTTCCCCTTCACCCAATCATTGAAACATCTACTCGCAGTTTTATTTTTTGTTTTTCAGGTTACTTCAAAGTGATTGAATGAAGTAAAACACATAAGGAAAAGATCAAACAAAGACTCCGATATCCTGTGAAATAACAACCTTATTCCTATATCCTTGTCTGAAATCAATACCCAAGAATGAAAAACCTCACTTACACCCTTTGTAATCAATTTATTTCCATATCCTACCTTACTTAATTATAGTAATTTTACTGTTACCGGTAACTTTAATTACTTATTACAATCTGGACTATAATTTGGCAATAATAGGCTCTAATTTGGGGAATGAAATGGTCTCGCCCACCTCTTCATGCACCCAATTCTGGCAACTTTGGTTGGGCAACTTGGCGTTTGACTCTAACTATAATCAGCTTGGCAATATGTTTTCAATAGAATCTTCCTTTTATATTTTTATTTTAATTAACGATTAGAAGATCGATCAATTTGGCAATGGCAACCATTACAAAAATATCAATATGGTGTGGCAAAATTGTTTCTAGTATTTATTATTATTTTTTTTTTACTGTATAGTATACCCTAAATTTATCGCGTTT